AGGATGTGGCTCCAGAGTGGAATGTGCCTAGAATCCACCAGTCAGAGACTGAGGATGTGGCTCCAGAGTGGAGTATGCATCTAGAATCCACCAATCAGAAACTGAGGGTGTAGCTCAACAGGAGAGAGAATGCTTGTGAATTAGAGAGGGCCTTGTGGGACAAACCAAAGGCTGTAAATATTGAATCTGTGCAAATGTGAAACAGAAAAGGGGCCATGGCATTGCCACAAGATGGGTAAGTTGGTAAAGGTGATCCCTGCCAGCCTCCCAACCTGAATTGGGTCCCTAGGACCCATGTGGTAGGAGGAGGGAACGAATGGAATACAAGCAGTTCTCTGACCTCCACATACCCACACCTCCCTCACTATTACAAATAAAGAAGTGTAATAAAAAATTAAACAAGCCAGATATGATGGGTGCACACATTTAATTCCAGAACTGGAGAGGCAGAGGTCAGCTTGGTTCACAGAGTGAGTTCCCAGACAGCCAGGGCTATAGAGAAACTCTGTCTTGAACAAACAAACAAACAAAGAACAAAAGAAACGGGCGTCCCCAGATGACTCTGAGCTTAAAAGCACTTACTGCTCCTGCAGAGGACTGGAGTTCAGTTCCCAGCACCCATATTAGGGAGCTCATAGCACCCTGTAATTCCAGCTCAAGGAGATCAGATGTTCTCTACTGGCCTCTGCAGGCACTGCACAAGCAGGGGTGCATACACACATGCACACATAAATCTTTAAAACAGCAAAATGTGTCCACTGACATACCTTCAATCTCAGCACGTCAGGGTCAGGAACTCCTTTAATACAGTTTCTCACCTTGTGGTGACCCACCCTAACTATAAAATTATTTTCATTGCTACTAATTTTGCTACTGTTATGTATCATAAAATGTAAATATTTGTGTTTGGCTGGTTTAGGCAACCCCCTGTGGAAGGGTTGTTTGACTCCCACAGGAGTTGCAACCCACAGGTGCAGAACCGTTGAGGATGGCAGACTCTGTCATCTGCAGCCAGGGTGTGACCGACACTTACACTAGTGGCAGTTAAAGCCAGTGACTGGTCACTGAGACCCAGGCCTGAGTGACAGGGATGAACATTTTGGAGGCGCAAGGGCTTCAAGGCTCCCCAAGTTCTTCAGACGTCTTACTGCCGCATCTCAGAGGACGCGTGGCTTGCAACACGGAGTGTGCTCGCCATCAGCTTCCAAAGGAGACTTTGTACAACTCTAGGGAAGAAACAAGATTTCTGGCTGTCTTGGCCCCAGGCCTGCAATCCTGACCGCAGGCTTAGGCCAATAACTCAAGAGTCAAGAGAATGCTGGCACCGACTCGAGCGGCTTGTAAAGCAGGCAGAGCTCTACATTTGCACAGGTGTGCAGTTACAAAGGCAACTCCTGCCTGCTGGCCAGGACTGCAGGCGAAACACTCCTGGTTTGTAATTCTCCAGAAGAAAACTCAGCCAAGGTGCGATGATGCTTGTCCATCACCTCAGTGCTCAGGAGGCAGAGGCAGCAGAATTGCGTGAGCTTTGGTTTGCTTTTTGGGGGGAAGCATTGAGATAGGGTTCTCTATGTAGCCCTGGCTATCCTGGAATTCACTCTTTGGACTAGCTTGGCCTTGTACTCGCAGAGATCTGCCTGCCTCTGCCTCCTAAGTTCTTTTTTCTTCTGTGGTACTAGAAATGGAACTCAGGGTGGTCAGCCAGCATGCCTCGCAATCGCTCTTCCACAGAGCCACATGCCCAGCTCCTCACTGGGGGACTCTAGGCAGGGGCTCTACCCCTGAGTTACACCCCAGCCCCTCACTGGGGGACTCTAGGCAGGGGCTCTACCCCTGAGTTACACTCCAGCCCCTCACTGGGAGGGGGGACTCTAGGCAGGGGCTCTGCTCCCGAGTTACACCCCCAGCCCCTCACTGGGGGACTCTAGGCAGGGGCTCTACCCCTGAGTCACACCCCCAGCCTTGCTGTTTTAACTTGGAGACCATCTCACTAAGTTGCCTGGACCAGCCCTGAATTCATTCTATGGCCCAGACTAACTAACGCTCCTCAGTCCCGAGTGCTGAGGTTACAGGCCAGTAGACTGAACCAACTCTTCCGGTCTTTTTTTACTTTTGCTTTTTGCTAGGTCCAAAGGAAACTCCACGCCCCCAGGGCCCCTTTTCCCTCTACTAATGGAGCCCTTTCCCATCACTGTCAGAAGGGACAAATGGCATCTGTGGTGTCCTTTATCAAGCAGAAGACTCTTGTCAGCTCTTCTCAGCCAGCCTCCCAACCTAGACTCCAGCTCGCGCTTCCCTTCCCCCAGCCTCATTCCCATCTAACCTGCCATTTTAGCCTTAGCTTTCTCGGTCCTCGTGAACAAGAAGGTAGTGTGCACAGTCGGTCTAACAAACGCTACCCTTTATGCTGAGGCCCAGCACACAAAATTCCCACTCTGAGTTCCTAACTACAGTCTTAAGCCAATCTCCCCAAGGCTGCTCACCGCTGTGCCGCATCTTAGCCGAAAGTTTAGGTCTAGCCTCTCACGGTTCTAGGGCCGGGATCCTGGGGGGGAGGGGGAGAGACTGTGCAGCCACAGGGCAGATCAAGGCCTCCAGCAGTCCTGAAGATGTGCAAAGCAACGACTCTTGGTTCTCGACTTACATACTGTCCAGCGGGCATCCCGGAGTTCTCTACTTAGCTGCTGTGCCCTGGTTACCTGGAGTAAGTGGCACCACTGGTGGCAGGTCTATAGCCTGGGAGGAACGGCCAGCTGGGTGGGAGCCCTTTCACATATGACAGCAGATGCTGGCCACCAGTCATTCTAGTGGGCACGCCCTGCCCCCACCTCAACCTCTCCAGTCCCTGAGCTTCACTTCTCTTCCCCAGCTTCTCTGACTCCTACATAACTAACCAACTTAGCTCCTGGACCTTTCTTCATCCGTTTACCCTCTCCTCTCCCCCTCTCTCTTTTCTTTTCTTTCTTTCTTTTTTTTTTTTAATTTTTTATGGTTTATTTAACTTTTTATTTTATGTGCATTGGTGTGAACGTGTCAGATCCCCTGGAACTGGATTTTCAGACAGTTATGAGCTGCCATGTGGGTGCTGGGAATTGAACCCGGGTCCTCGGGAAGAACAGTCAGTGCTCTTAACCACTGAGCCATCTCTCCAGCCCCACTTTCTTTTTTTTTAAAAATATTTATTTATTTATCTATTTATTATGTATACAATATTCTTTCTGCATATATGCCTGCAGGCCAGAAGAGGGCACCAGACCTCATTACAGATGCTTGTGAGCCACCACGTGGTTGCCAGGAATTGAACTCAGGACCTTTGGAAGAGCAGGCAATGCTCTTAACCACTGAGTCATCTCTCCAGCCTCCCCCTCGCTCTCTTTTCCTCCTCTCTCACTCTTTCCTGCCCACTCCTCTCATGGACCAGTTCAGTCTGGACGCTTCCAGATGCCTCTGGCTGTTCTCTCTTTCATATGTACAATAAAACCCTTCCCCTCCACCACACCTTGGAGCAGCCGCACCCGCAGTTTGAACTCTTGAGACAGAGTCTCACTAAGCTGCTCAGGCTGAATTCATGCCATTACCCAGCCTGGCCCTGAACTTCTGCCCTTCCTTTTCGGTCTCTATAGCATCTGGAACTCAGAGTGGCATCAACTGTATGGGGAGAAAGTAATGGGAAAACACACTTCAAAACCAAGCTATTATCTCCAGTTTCCACCGGAGGGCTCTGCTTCTCCTGCGGCAAACAGGGACACAACCAGGCTTGTCTGGCTTCATCAGAAAAAGGAGAGGAAGACATTTTGGAATAATGTGTTCACTGTGTCTGTGCTGGTTCCTATTCCTAAGGTAGGGAAGCGAGGGCGTGGAGGCTGCAAGGGACAAAGGTGGCACAGAGGCTGCTGTAAAATCCCTACCTAGCTTTGCAGAATAGATGTGGGTGGTGGCCAGAGCTACGTGGCCTTCACCCGTGCTTCAGACAGCATTTGGTTGGCTGAGGAATTACTGGCTGGTAGACCCCCAGAGCTGATTAGGGATCACAAATCATGCCTGTATTAAAAGGAGCCGAGACCCACAGCACCCATGGCCATAAGATAAGAGAGGAGCGTGGATGAGTGTGAGAAGACCAAGGGCCGTGAAGGGACCTGCGAGTGTGCTGAGGCTACAGGAGACTAACGAGCTAGTTGCTTTGGCTCCAGCCGGAGCTGCTGTGGTAATGGAGACTTCCCCTCTCCTCTCTGCGGTCAGGAAGTTTATCACTGCTTCAACACCTCTGGGGGCCACAGAGCTTAATGAAGAAAAGTTGAATTCAGGTTTGTCCCCTCCTCCATCTGGGTCTCCTGAGGACCTTCCATTAGAGGGTGCAGTATGGCAGAAAGAGGTTCCAATCCTTCTCCAGTTCCCCGGAAACCTTTCTTTCCTCATCAGGGATTTTCAGTGCCGTCCAAGCTGACACCTGACTTGCAGCAATCCCCCTGCCTCAGTTTCTTGGGTACTAGTATGACAAGCACAAGCTGTTCCACTTTCCTCTCCTCTCCCCTTTGGTTCAACCTTTTCCGTCCAGAAAGTGCCCTGTCCGCAACACCCTTCACATCACCACACAGGCAGGACCTCATGCCTGACCCTATCCCATCAGTGCCATTCCTGTGACTGGCACTGCCCTCTGCCTGTTCGGTTCCTTGCATAGAACGAGGGCATTGTGATTCTCGGGGAAGCTTATGAGAGAAGTGCCGCATTGAAATCTCAAACAGGCATATAGAGTGTTGTGATGGACTGAGCTGGGACCTACTGTCCCCCCATGGCAGGGGGCAACTACAGGTTTCTGAGGGTCCCTAGGTTGATGTGGAAGCCATGGGTGTGGGAGCAGGAAAATCCGGTTGCATGAGCCCAGCTCTGCCCTCCATCTGTATTTGTTCCTGCAGTCAGCAGCAGGGAGGGATCTGAGCAGGTGAAGAGAGAAACCAACCAACATGGGAATGGGGTACTGGTGGAGAAGGGTCTGGGGAACCAGAGCTGGTAGAACAAGGTCTGGGAAACAGGAACTGGAGGAACAGATGGTGGCAGAACAGGAGCTGGGGAACCAGAAGCTGAGGGAACAGGGGTTTGGGGAACCAGGAGCTAGGGGTACAGAAGCTAGGGGAACAGGAGCTGGGGAACCAGGAGCTGGGAGAACAGGGGCTGGGGGAACAGGGGCTGGGGATACAGAAGCTGGGGGAAGAGGAGCCGGGGAACCAGGATCTGGTAGAACAGAAGCTGGGGAACCAGGAGCTAGGGAACCAGGAACTGGGGAAACAGGATCTAGGGAAACAGGGGCCGGTGGACCAGGAATTGGGGGTATAGGAACCAGGGGTAAAGGAACTGGGGGTACAGATGCTGGGAGAACAGAAGCTGGGGAACAGGGGCTGGGGGAAGAGGGGTCAGGGGACCAGGAACTGGGAGACCAGGGGCTGGGGGAAGAGGGGCTAGGGGACCAGGAACTGGGGGACCAGGAGCTGGGGGGAACAGGGTCTTGGGAACAAGAACTGGGGGAACTAGGGGTCAAGGGACCTAGGGACTGGAAAAACCAAGGTCTGGGAACTCAGGATCTGGAGAGCTCAGGGACTGAAGGAACTAGCTGGAACTCAGCTGGGAACCCAGAGTCTGGGGGAGCCAGGTTCTGGATCCTGTTTGCCAGTAATGGCATCTCCTCCCAGAGAGCCCTAGGGTGGGTCGGAGACAAATCGGTTCATTTTCTGGATCCCTAGGGTTTGTTGAGGGAACAGGAGACCTGTCCCCATCCCCCTGGCCTCTGCTCACCTTTTCTGGCTGTGGTTACAGAGAAGACCTCCGAATGGATGACGAGGTGGCTCTGCAGGCAGGTAGCTCAGTGTTCCTTGCAGCCTGCCCCTTCGTTCAGGGCTAGAGTTTTCTGAGCCTTCCTATAGGCCTGGATAGAAACCCCGCCCAGGGTAGACCAGCTGACATCCTAGAACCAGTGTGACTAAGCTTCCAGAGGAGAAGTTGGCTTCCTCTCAGGTGCCTGCAGGATGCCAGCAGGAGGGGCAGTCAGATGGAGTTGGGAAAGTTTAGCGTACCCGCCTTCCCCGCCCCCCGCAGTACTGCAGACCCCCAAGTCAACAGTGGAATGGCCCGCATCAGGCTTTCTAGGTGAGGTCTTCTGGTTTGAGCTGTGAGCGCTCTGACCTGCGGCACCCACTTACTGGCTGCCCTCCTCTACATGCATGCATGTGTGCAGGATTGAACTCAGGTTCTCACACCAGCTTAGCAAGCTCTCTATGGATCAAGCCATTCCCCTGCCTCTACACCCGGTTTTTACAAAGGTCTCGGGATTGGTCCTCACGCTTTCCTAGAGAGTACTTTATCAAATGACATATCTTGAGAGTCAACAGTGTACAAGGTTTTGGGTTTTCCCTCTTTTTGGTGTATGCAGAATTGAACCGGGGCCCTATGCATCATACTTTTAACCCCTATGACTGATACACTTTGGTTTTGAGCCAGGGTCTCACTATATAGCCCTGAATTGCCTGGAACTTGTTGTGTTGCCCTGGCTAGCCTCGAACTCAGAGATCTACCTGTCTCTGCCTCCTGAGTGTTAAGATTAAAGATCTGTACTGTTGGATCCCAGGTTTTTCCCCTGCTCCTTGAGGCCAAAGCACAGGATGCAAGAACTGTTTATGCTAAACCAGCCTAGCTTCCAGTTAACTTCTCTGCCAGCCTGGGGGATTAGCATAGAGCCTTGTTTCGTCTTTGGTATGGTAATTTCACCTGCTAAGGAGGGTTCCCACGGCGCCTAATTCTTCTCTTAACTGTCTGCCACAGCTCCCAGCCAGGTACCCCCTACCTGGAAGAACCTGCCACTCGGCCCAGGCTCTCAACACTGTGATCTCACTCCTGGCTGGGAGGGGGTCCTTCTCTTCTGGGGAAAGAGGTATATTAACCTGACAGAAACAAAATAAACTGGGCATTCGGCTGTTCTTGGCGGATGACCCAGATCTCTCTCTGTGTGTGTCTTGTGTTTAACCCCCAGAACCTCGCCCCAAGCTCATGGTTAGGTGCGAAAGGCACACGATCCGCATCGGGAGGGAGCACAGATCCAGGTGGAACATTATACCATCAACCTTGGCCTAATAGTAGGCCCTCTGAATAGCTCTATGTGCACAGGAAAAACCAAGCACAGAGAGAGAAGTTAACTTGCCCAGAGTCACACAGCCACTCAAAGTCAGGCAAGCTGGGGCTTGGAGAACGACGCTATGCAAACAGCAACTCTTCTCAGCTCCACCTTGTTTCTGTTACTGTCTATTTGTTTGGAGACAGAATTACTCAGCCTGCTTTCTTATATTATCCAAGATCAACTGGTAAGAAGGGTCACCACCCCCAGGGGGCTGGGCCATTGTATCAGCCAGGGTTCTCTTAGAGTCACAGAACTTATGGAATGAATCTCTCTCTCTCTCTCTCTCTCCACACACACACACACACACACACACACTAGAATGAGTTACAGGCTACTGTCCAACAAGGCTAGTTGTGAATCTAGTAGCTGCTCAGTCCCAAGATGCTGAGTGTTGACTTCTTGCCTCAAGATCCAGATTATAAGTGTGCCTCCATTTCTGGAATACAGTCCATTCCAGATATAGTCAAGTTGACAACCAAGAATAGCCACCACAGCCATTCTACATAAATCTCTAATTAAGAAAATGCACTACAAGCTTGCCCACAGGCTAATCTGGTGGGACATTTTCTCAACTGAGGTTCCATCTTCCCAAATGACTCTGAATTTATGCCAGGTTGGCAATGACACTAAGCAGCACAGACAACGATTGAAAAAGACACTAAATGTTAACTTCCTGTGCACACACACAGGAACATGCACACAAGTATTCATATACACTAAAGAATAAACACAGCTGGGTGATGGTGGTGCACATTTTTAATCCCAGCACTCGGGAGGCAGAGACAGACGGATCTCTGTGAGTTCGAGGCCAACCTGGTCTACAAGAGCTAGTTCCAGGACAGGTTCCAAAGCTACAGAGAAACCCCATCTTGAAAAATAAAAACCAAAATAAATAAATAAACAAACATATATACAATAATAATAAAATAAAAGTCAAGCGAAGGGCAGCAGCCTGGCTCAGGTGGCAGAACATGTGCCTAGGATCTGCCAGTAAGGACGTGGGGCATGGCTCAGCCCTAAAGTGCCTGTCTAGGATGCCAGATTGGGCTCAATCCACCATATTGAAAACAAATAAAACACAGGCATAAAAAGTCCCCATGAGAGCTACCTTTCTTCTCCTCTTCCTCGGTTTGTGATAACAGAAGGGTGGAGTTGCTGTGAGTGGACACCAGGACATCTGCCAAGTCCAGAGTGTGGGGCAGTTGAAACACAAAAGGCCATTTTTCCTAATCCATTCATGCCATGGAGAAAAAAAAAAGCCAGGTGTTTAGCAAGTGTGCAAAGCTGACTCTGAGCTCCCGGATCTGCAGGTGCGTTATATCTCTGTGTGCCATCCCCTACCCCCATGAACCTACTGTTCAAAAGTCACACAGAAAGTCGGGCTCTATGGCTTCTGTCTGCAAATTCCAGCCAGGAGGCCGAGGCAGGAGTGCTGTGAGCTTGAGGCATGCCTGAAAAAAGGGGAGGAAGAGGAGGAGAAGGAGGGGAAGGAGAGGAGAGGAGGAGAAGGAGAAGGAGGAGGAGTATGGAAAGTCAGGTACAGGGTCTGGGGGAATAAGAGCTGGGGAACAGGGGCTGGGGAACCAGGGGCTGGGAGAACAGGAGCCTGGGGAACAGGGGCTCAGGAACCAGGGGCTGGGGAACAGGGGCTGGGGGAACAGGAGCTGGGGAACCAGGGGCT